GAGGGATGGAGGGATGGAGGGAGGGAGGGAGGGAGGGTGGATTGTTAGCGTGAGATTGGGTGGGGTAGATGGATGGATTGGATTAAGTAGGCAAATAGATTCAGAAATGAATAGGTAGGAAAGCGTAGGTGAAGGGATGAGGTCTAATAGGATGGTATGGAAAGATAAGATTAGGATGGAATWGATAGATGGATTGATTGATATACAAAGATATAAATTATTTTAACCCTACATAATTCTTTCCACACTTAGGGATCTGTCTTACTCTAACATAGAAGACATTGCACCGCAAGCATTCACAGGCTTGGATGGAAGCATTCTSTAAGCGCTGGTTATCATTTGTTGTGCTTTTGTTTTATAAAAATAACATATATAATATCAAGATAATAATAAAATTAATAGTCAACAATTAACCCTTTTGCCTTGGGCTTAATGTTTTTCACTTTCAGACAATACGTCATTCCCATGAGTATTATTTCTTTGTTCATTCGTTGAGAAGACATATGAATATGGATACTCAAACAAAGAATCTTACTCTCAAGAGAATGCCACGTGGTCTGAAATGGACCTAATCCATTGTTTTCTCATTTCAGACCACGTATCATTCCCTAGAGTAATATTTCTTTGTTTAACGGTTACGCATGAGAAGACAAATGAATATGGATACAACTCAAACAAAGAATCTTATTCCCAAGAGAATGCCACGTGGTCTGAAATGGACCTAATCCATTGTTTTCTCATTTCAGACCACGTGTCATTCCCTAGAGTAATATTTCTTTGTTTAACGGTTACGCATGAAAAGACACATGAATATGGATGCAACTCAAACAAAGAATCTTATTCTCAAGAGAATGACACGTGGTCTGAAATCGACCGTTGTTTAACGGTTGCGCACTGCGGTTGCCCATCTCATACCAAATTTCACTCTCTTAATAATTTGGTTTTGTGTGAGAAGACAAAAGGTTATGGATACAACTCAAACGAAGAATATTATTCTCGGATCGAACGCAGATGCTCTGTAATGGGAAAGATAACTCTCAAGCTGAACAGTTCTATTGTTCCTGTGAATCATACTCATGGCGCATTTATTTAATTTCAGAAAAATGCAGTACAACAAGTTAACAAAGCTTAAGTCAGAATATTTCAATAACGCTCCTTCGATAAAAAGCTTGTAAGTTAACGAAATATTTCTCGTAAAACAGACCCATTTGTCTTGAGCGTAATGTTTTTCCATTTCAAACCCCTTGCTCCTTTTTCGCGCAGCAATGGTTTTTCGCGCAGCGACGTTGCGCCAAAAAAACGTTCTCATATAATATGGCGCGCGGTTACAAATTCTAACGATATTTTGTTGCGGTAACATGTTGCAGGTTTTTAAACGACCTTCAAAACTCATAATATTTGTTGCTATCGATTTGTGTGGCCGAGCGCGCCATGTTACACGAAGTCGACGCAACAATCGTAAGACCATATTTACGCTCAAGATAAAAGATCTTTGTAACATTCTTTATTCTTGYATCGATAAGGTACTTGCAAGGGAATCTAATTGAAAACATCACTTTAAATTTCCCACAATTGCTGCCGAAGTTGTTGAATCTGTACGTTCAATGTGATTTATATCATTTGCTTTCCTAGTCATTCCATGATTGAAACTTTTTTATATTCATGCACATTTTGATCAAGAAACATCTCTGTACTTACTATGTATACTTTCTTTCTTTCCTTCTTTTTTTCTTT